AACATCCGCCATATTGGATCCGCCGTCTTCTTTTCTTTCTTCTTCTAAAATTCCTCAAATAGGAATAGTAATGGAGATTGAAGACATTTAGATTTAAAGTAATACGGTGATAACGTAGCTTTCATCTCCGATGATTTAACTGAATAGGACCATTGGTCTACCAGGAAACGTATAAAATAAATGAAAACGGCTAAAAGATAACAAAATGTATCATCTTATATCCCAAAAATCAAACATTAGCATATCTATCTTAATTTTTCTTTCTTAATATTTAGTGAAACAATCGCCTGGATAATTTTGTCGGTAGATTATTGCAACACCCTGTATAAATAGAATAGAAAATTGGCCTTTTAAGTAAACATGAAATAGGTACATTTATATCTGCTACATTTATTATACCTACTTTAATGTTAAATAAAGTGTTATATCTATATCTACAAGTAGGTATAAAGGGTTATTCTAATAAAATCATTTAGGCACTATTAGAATAATTAAAAAGGAGATAAAGAAAATTACTTTCTTTCATGAAATTATACTTACCTAAACACCTTTTGGGTGTAAACTTTTTCGTAAGAATACATTAAAATCACATTATTTTAAGTAAAAATATTTAAGATACCTATTTCAAAGTTTCCTATTAGTAAGTTTCCCATTTTTTACTTAAATATCTACTAATAATTTGTAATTTTAAGTAATCTAACTTGTAATTCAACCTAACTTAAAAGCATTGTTCTCGAAACTTAAAGTTGAGATAATTTTTAAATTATAAACGAGATGATTTGTTATGTGACCACTGGAAAAAATATATCAGCAACGATTTTGTAACCAGTTGATTTTTCTGACATTAGTTCACGCTAATTAGACTTTAGAAGAAATAATTCACAAACAAATAATATTTTGTACAGGAATAGTTTATAGGAGTGTTTGCAGAAAAATGTGAAAAAACAAATCAAAACAAAAAGTGGCACAGGATCATTTTCTACCTCAAAGCAGCCCTTTTATAGATATTCGCACTGAAAAATGGCGTAGGACCGATTTTTCGCCAAGCGCTCCAAACGACCCCCCTACTTTGAACGCCGATAGATGGAAATTTAACTATAGGACTTTTTTTGTGTATAATTTAATAGAGAATAGCCCGGGGATAGTTTTTCGTGAAAAAAGGTGGGAACCGTTCGGGTCCTTACTTCTACTCCTATATAACGAGGTTCAAATAAAAACGTGGTCGAAGTTGGCTCTGACACATTGGACGTAGGGCGTAGCTTATAGCGACCAACTTAACCTCATTTCTCAACGAGCTGTATAGCAGCTGTCAGTTTCAATAACAAAGCGGCGATACAGCGCTTTGACAGATGACGTTTAAGTTCATTTGCTATACGCTACGCCCTACGTCCAAATTTTCAGAACCAACTTGACCACGTTTTTATTTGAACGCTCGTTACTATCCCTGGACAAAATATTATTTGTATATAAATTTTTTCTTCTATTTGCTGTTTTTTCGGCTAATTAGCGTAGGCTACACGGGGACTGATATATTTAATAATTGTCTATTTTGGGAAGTTACAACCAATCTTATTAAATACAAACATGACAAACATAGGTATATCTCAGATGTTTTTTATAAGGCGATAATAATATACCGGGTGATTCAGTTTGGTATTCGCGGACCTGTATCTCTTTTATTTTAACAAATAGCTATAACAAACTCTATATATTTTTAAATCGCCGCACAAATTCTATCAAATGACATTATTAGATCGTCTCCATGGTAACATATGTCAAATTTGCTATAGTCAATTGTTTTTGTTCAAATGGCGCACTATATATATTTTTTATCGATTCTGGAAGATATTTTTTTTCTATGTTCTGCTATGTAAGGAAGTATATAGTTTCATTAGAAATATTACTAGAAAAACAGCAAAAAAGATGAACCCTACTTTTCGTACATTTATTCTGAAAAATGATAGCCAGCTACGAAAACAAGCTAGGTACTGTGTTTTTTAAAGTAACATATTTTATTTTTAATGCTATAATAATATAACAATTTAAAACAATACTTATTTCAAATGTTCAAAATGACCTCAATTTGCTTCCAAACACAGAATAGCTCTGTCTACAAACACATTCTAGTGTTTCTTCATTTAATCGCCGACATTCTATTCTTATTCTGATTTTAAGGTCGTCAATATCGTTTAGATAAGGCCAAAGAAAGAAATCTATAGGAGTGAGATCCGGAGATCTAGCAGGCCATTTAACATCTTCATCGAATGTTCTTCATCTCTTGCCTTTCTGGGTTTAAAAACTCTTCTTTTCTTTTGAAAACTTTCATCTGCCGGCAAATTCCTGTCTAGCTTTCCGAAAATTTTATCTGATGGAAGTTGTCTCTGCAGAAAACAATGTTGATATAAATACCTGGCAGCTTTAGCGTTCTTTCGGCGCTCTCCATAAATTAAAATCATATCTAGTTTTTGTTGATTACTGTAAGTATTCATGTTATAATAAGTATAGATAGAATAGGTAGGTACAAAATGTCAATTATTTTGACAAAACGTTATTTAGAAAGGTCAAAATTCAGTTGTTTCCGCAGCTGGCTATCATTTTTCTGAATAAAGCTACTGAAAGTAGGGTTCATCTTTTTTGCTGTTTTTCTAGCAATATTTCTAATGAAACTATAGACTTCCTTATATAGTTGAACGCAGAAAAAAAATATCTTCCAGAATCGACAAAAAAATATATAGTGTGCCATTTGAACAAAAACAGTTGACTATAGCAATTTTGACATGTTACCATGGAGACGATCTAATAATGTCATTTGATAGAGTTTGAGCGGCAATTTAAAAATATATAGGGTTTATTATAGCTATTTGTTAAAATAAACGAGATACAGGGCCGCGAATATCAAACTGAATCATCCGGTATATTATAATAACTTCAGTGGGTAGAAATAAGAGCCTGAAATAAAGATGAAACCTTTGGTCATTCAATGAAACGAGGATGTTCCTTAGGTTTACTGTGGAAAGCACGCTTTACCTAGTATGCAATATGCATACATAAATATATTTTTAATGAGAATCGAAACAAAACACATTTTGTGGTTAGTTATTAATCAGTTTGATATACTGAACTTGGTTTACGTTCTGTTTTGTTGTGCAAGTGGTATAATCCTTAGAAATAATGTGATACTGGAATTATATAAATTTAGTAGAATTAATACGAATAGTAGGCCAAACGTGAATAAATATTACCACTAAAAATGCTATCCAGAAAATTTTATTAATAGTTTCGAAGTTACATCATACTTCTGATAATATTCATCATATTTAAATTTCTTATCTAATAAGAAGAACCAGGTGTTTTATAAGTATACAAATATGTAAAATATTTAGTGTACCTACATACTCGTAATAGGTTCACAATTCTCCGAATTCGAATACTGCGAATAAAGTTGCGATTAAAGCAAACAGCAATGTTCGCTGATAGCTGTCTAGCAAATTAATACAAAAAAAGAAAGTTTCAGATTAATGAAAGTATTTCCTAAATGATTCCCACCAATTTTCATTCAATAATACCTACAGAATATTCAATAATTTGCCCAATTTCGAGACAGTCGGTTTAGTTTCACGTCAAAAATATCAGTAAATAACACAGATCGACGAAATTTTAGAACTAGAATAGTTCTATCATCATAGAACTATTAACATTAAATATTTATGATAAAAATTATATTTGCATTACATGTTTTTATGGAAAAAATCATATACCTATTACATACCTATAAAATGCCTCAACAGTCAGGATTTCTTTATTAATATACCTAATTGTTTCAGTTTTTCATAGCTTACTAATTGAAATTCTGAAAAATTTTTGAAATACGTATACTTTTATAATATCGTATGAAATATTAAATGTCACTGGACGTAATTAAAAAATGTATCTGTAGCCGTTAAAATGTATGAGGTTAGTTGATGCAATAGATTTTCGATCAAGCCGGAAGTGGAAATATTACCAAAAAGTTTGTAATATATCGTATATCCCTATATCACTTTCTAGCTTAATATATGGAATATTTTTTTCTCAGATAATCATTTGATCCGCTATACCTTTTTTAATTGATGGTCAAATGCTTTTCTGATTGCGCAGGTCGTTTTACATATATTATATTTTCTCCCATTCAAACATCTTCAACACAAAGAAATAAAATGTAACAAAAAGGAATTATGACATTCTGTAAAGAGATGCTCTTTAATAAACAAAAAAATTGCAATTTATCATCTCACATCCTTTTTCATATTACCGACTTTATCCTTATCGACAAATTCTTAAAAATAATAAATAATAATAATATAATAGCTCTACCCCCATTCTAATATCAAGGATTAGCCCAGAACTCGGGGACTTGTGCGGGAGAAGGGTCGGCATATCATTATTCAACACGCCGCATGTGCGCCCAGGAACCACTTTGTAAGCCCTAACCACCATTCAGTGCACAGGTCAAGTGTCGACTAGAATCAATTTCTCACATTGCACCACGCCAGCTATACCCGCAGAGAGGGTGCCTAATTTCTCTCTACGAATATAGGTGATCTACGGCGAATCGAACCCGCGACAGTGGCATTCAGCGATTCAAGTATTGACCCCTCGAGCCGCTTGACTACCGACTAGGGTTACCAGAACTATTTCATCACAGACCCGGAGATACGAGACTCGTTTGTATAATTGATGCCTAAAAAAAAGGTTATGCGATCAGGAAATCTGGAAGACAAATTATTGTTGTTTTCGAAAAAATCGATGTCTAAAAAAAGGACGCAATCAGGAAATATCTACTTCGTGACAGAGATCAGGAATCAGGAAATGTTTTTTTCCGCAACAAAGAAAACCCGGAGAAATGACATGTTAACCCGGAGCCCGGAGATGTACCATCAAAACCCGAAGACTCTGGGTCAAACTTAGAGATCTGGCAACCTTACTACCGAGCGACACAAATAAATTGTTATTTGACCTACCTTTTCGAATAAAATTTTTTGGGACTGAGGATGAATACGACAATATCACTTTCGATATCCAAATGCGTCCCCCTCAAAATAATAAATGACCTGTCTGGTCTCCTCGATGTATTCAAAGTTCATACTGTATGACAAAATTGAGCCACTGCACTGGAAAACAAGACGTGCCATATTTATTTTCACAATATTTTAAAGGATGTGGAGAAAATATATTGCATCAACGTTTCTCGTATCTACATTTTCAGCGTACATTTGCATTTTTACAATAATAAATAACGGTTTCACATTTCACATGTTAAGGTTTTTGTATTAAAAATTATTGATAACTAAGCTGTATCTGTCTTTATTTATTCATATTTGTTGGTGAAAATGATTTGGTGCAGTAGTTGATGATTTATACTAGTCAGTAGTCATTAAAGTAATACCTATATCTTTTCTAATTTGAAAATCGTTGTAAATTCAGTTACCAGAATGTAATTTTTTTGTTTCTACATTTTACGCAGGATTGTTTCATTAGCAGTTAGTATTGTTATCTGTGTGGTTAGATATATGTATTTTGTATACGTAACAGAACACTGTTTGACTTCATTTGATAAGATTTTAGAAAAAAATTTAAATTTGTTTAAATTAACTGAATGCCTATAAAATTTCGTATTTCAATAAATACTGTTCTCGATTATATATTTCAAATATCTTAATCTTTGATGGAAATGTTAAATATGTCAAATATGAAAATTTATTTTCAATTCGTATTATACAATATTTTTGCTTTATTTCAATACTGCTGTTCAATTTTTGGCAAAGGTTAAGTAAGTTTATTTTCTTAGTTAATACTAAATAATAAAATAACTTTTATGCCATTGAACTAAACAATAATATCCACATTTACCACTTCCCTTATCATATCTATACCATACAGTTGCTATAATATAAATAATAAAATTTATTTACTTTGTTACAGTATTATTTATTTATTTATTTATTTAATTATTTGAAGTACAGCTGCCCAGCCAGATAAAAATCCAATTAAAGGGCAGGAGAAACAATAAAAGATTACATAAAAATGCATAATACATGAAAAATAGATTCGAAAACACAAGCTTAATTACATACCTATACAAAATGAACACAAAATAGTTAAACAATTTAACATATAAAATGATGGACAGGTTATAAATCTAAATTTAAAATACACCTTCTTATAGTACTGACAATACAGTTTAAAATATCAATGCTGGTATGATAATAATTTATATAATATGTACACATTTGATAAATTGGAGAATGTTTAAGAACATTATTGTTCTCGGAGTTGACAAATAAAATAATACATTTAAGCGAGTTTGAACACTAGAAATATTAAAGTAAATACTACTCAGAATGTCAGGGCAATCTATATACGAGGACAACAGTTTATACAGAAAAAGTATGGAAAAATAGACCCGACGCAAGACCAACTATTTAAAGTTAAATCTATTTAGTAGTTCTAACTGCAGACCCTGAGGTGGGTAAGTATGATCAATTCGAAAACTAAGATATTTGACAAACTTTCTCTGAACCTTTTCCAAGTTAGAAATGTGAACCTCATATTGAGGATTCCAAATAACGTAAGCGTATTCTAACTTTGGCCTGACAAATGCATTAAAGAGTAATGTAAGGATAGAAACATCCATAAAATATCGCGAATTCCTCATAATAACACTGAATATCTTGTAGGCATTAGATATAGATAGCATAATTAATATGGGGAACAAAAGTCACTTTTGTATCAAAGATAACACCTAGATCATTAAATTGTGTTCATTAATTTCATCTGTTTAAAATAATACTATTTATATTATAGTCAAACTTAATAGCAACATTTTTTCTTGTAAAACTCATAACGTTACATTTGGAGATATTCAATGACAACTTATTATTTTGGCACCATATATTTATTTTCGACAATTCTTGTTGTAAACGATAACAATGTTGTAATGATTCAATAGATGCATGTCATGTCGTCAGCATATAAGAAAATATGTGTCTGAATGTATTTAAATATATCTTTTATAAATATAATAAATAAGAGAGGCCCAAGTACCGATCCCTGCGGAACTCCAGATGTCGCCAACACGTTAATTGATTTATAACTCCGATATTGAACATTGAGAATTCTGTTATTTAAATAAAAATTTTAAAAATTAAGAAAATCTATTGTTATTCCCAAGTTTGATAATTTATGTAACAATAGCCCATTACATTACTTACATAACATACAAATTAAACCTAATTAATAACAAAAGTAACAATATTGTACCGAAATTCGGCCAAGGACAAAATTTGGTACTATATTTTTGTTTATAGGTTTATAGACCTATGATAAAAAGCAATGAATTGGTTGTTGTCCTATTCAACAATAGGTATAATAAGTATTATAAAGAGAATTTTACAGGAATTGTGCGCTGTTCAGCATATGGAGACAACCTCGGTTCGTTAATGTTGGTGATAGCAAAGTGTCATAACCATCTTTTGTCTTATTTGTCCCTATCAAATGACATACCGTTTGTCTAACTTTTTAAATCTACACGAAAATTATAACCTTCAGCCTTGAAATTTACCTACAGTAAGGTTCCATAAATTCCTGGTTCATAGATCGCGTACCATCTAACTATACCTTAATAAGTTTCTATAACCACCCAAAATCTGACTGATGTATAGAAAGCCAAGCAGTTTTCAAGATAAATTGACATAACTATGAACTTTACATGTTCCTACGGTTTAATCCTATGCATTATCATATGAAATTATTTTTTACTAATGTTATTCAGTATATTTCATGATGAATTAATTATACATATTGCAATTGCAAAGTGGTGCAATCTAGGCCAATACGGAATGATCACTTAAAAAATTTATACCTATTTCAAAATTTGTGGATATAAATACATTTTATAATTTTAAGTACAATTTTTTTTGGCTATAGCTATGGAACCATTCATGGGAATTTATTTATTTTTGTTACAGCCACTAAATATCAACAGACTCTGAATTCTCAATACTAAAATTCCAGTATCCACTGAACATTTTTTTTATTATTTTGTTCTTTGTGTTACCTACGGAAAAGTCCATCGTATGTATACATTTTTCCTGCCATTGCCTAAATCATATTGAACGTACACAAACCACTGACAAAAGCTCCAATAATATATCATTCGAGCAGCTTTTTAGTATTATTTTATCAATAAAAACAGTTACAGTTAGTTGATATTTTTGAATTTTTGCTTCTTATTAATACTTATCACTTATTATAATTTTATACACATAACAAGTAAAAATTCCAGACTGTGACAAAAAGTCATGTGATACAGTGGCGGCTCGTCAGGTGAAGCAAGTGGCGCACCACTTCGAATCGAAACGCACACGCGATACCTAGATTGTCTAGTTTTGAAGTAATTAGTTTATTGTTATCGTTTATTAAGAACTCATCCCATTTTCCCTTCCCTATCCTATTGAGTTCTGCAGTGATATACCAAAAAGCAGTTTTGCCCAAAGGTGAGTCCATTAATATTTTTTTTTGTTGTTAGTTCATTTAATTTTTATACAGTCCGCTATTCGCCGAAACATTGGTAATGTTTCCGTTTGGTTGTGCAATTTAAAATTATTTTTTATTTTATATACATTTTATAATTTAGGTATAATTCTATATTGAAAATGTTTGTTTGTTTAATACGCAGAAATAAACAGAATAGTTGTGCGGTGAACGCTTTCTAAAAAAATATTGCCTTCGTTGAGCGCAAACATCAACCTCGTACCATACAACGTATAGTATATGCAAGTGACGCAGATCGACCACATTCTGTATTCTGCTTCTCTTCGAAGCGTTGTTTACGGCGTTTGTCATGGCAACGAGGCGGCCAACACGGGAGTAAACTACGGCATGGGGAAACGAATGACGCGTATATTGACCATGAGCATTGTCATCGCCCATAGACTACCGTCATTGTCTATCAGTGACGTTGAACTTATCGCCTGCCTTTAAACTGTTTATACGATACGCGTCGCCCAGTGCACGATTATAACGGTTCTTAGTTAATATTTGTTTTGTATAATAATTGTAGAAATGTTTCCCATGTATGATCCAGTATGTGTTTTATTGGAAACGCCATTTTCCAGATGGAAAATTGAGGACAAAAAGGATTTTTTAAATTGCGAGATACCTGTACCTTATTCTCTCGATATGGAAACAAGTCAAAAGACAATGTGTACGGTCTGAAGTTTCGGAATGAATGGTATTCGGAGTATATATAAGTGCTTGTGTGAATGTGTTTATTTAAAAAAACTTTCTGTATGCTGTGTTTAGTTGTGGGTGTAAAGTTGTGCGTGTGGAATAAGGAAGGAATTAACAATTTTGGAAACGTCGCGCGGGGCTGTCGTAACCACAACGCCTCTTTGGAACATACATGTACCTAAATGTTCGCAGAAGTCCACAAGCCGAACTAATATTTCTATTTTTTATAAAATCTAAATGAAAATTCTTCTCACGAACGTTAGTTTTTGGATAATATTGCAAATGCAACAAAAAATTTCCAGATTCATTTAAAGCCATTTGACTTGGAAAATTTTCGCCTGCGGTCCTTTTTTTTATTTTTAGTCAATCAATGATTATTTCACCTTCACCTATTCTCAATGTCACGAGCCGCCACTGTCACTGATGTAACAAAAACTATGCATTTAATTTTTGATCACATCTTGCTCGACGTGAAATAATAATATTCTAGTAGGAATCACATACTCTTATTTTGATCAGTTTTTTGATATTTTAACCATACGAATACATATTCTTGGATTTCAGTAATTTATTAATAGTACCACGATTTCTTACTGTAATTTGATACAAAAAATTAGAAAATTGTAGTTTCTAAAGAAAAAACATCAGTGGAGACTTGTGAAAATTAAAGTGGTTATTTTTTAGGGGATGATTTCTAAGACCACAAATATAATTTTTTTGACGAAAAAATTTCTGGAAAATCTGTGAATTAAAAAATTATATTGGGAACTACCGATCCCAGAATCTCTAACAGGTTTGCACATATGTTTGCAAAATATACCTTTTCATAATCAACTGATGAATATAAACAACTGTTGTTTACTTTTCTAAAAATTAGCGCAAAGTTACAGCGCTATGAAATAGAATTTTTGTATAAATTAAAATTTAAATAGGTATAACAAAGAAAATTAAATTTCATCAGAATTGAGAAAAACGGCAGTTTGTATACATATAGCAGTTGACTGTGAAAAAAAATATTATGCATAAATATATCGATATCTTAGGATCAAAAATCCCCATTTTAATTTTCAATTTCGCAAATTTCTTTCAAAATGTTTTCCTCGTGAATATTGTGAACATAAAAATCATTTCCCAAAAAAGGGTGCGAGTTCTACGTTTCATTGTCAAAATATGATCACTTTAATTTCCACCACCCGCATTAGGAAACACTTTATTCATGTCACACTGGAAAAGTTGCCTTATACATTTTTCCGGAGGTTTCTTTTTTTAAATAATTATATTTCAGTTATAAGATTAAATTATTAAATGTCCTACAATGTAATTTCCTATTAGCCTCGAAATCAGCGGAATATGTAATACTAAAAATTTTGAAATACAACTAGCAACGATCTTTGATTATTTAAGAAGAACGAGGAAAATGTCTTGTTATTTTAAAAGTTGTGGTACTATTTATTAGTAAGGCTGCCTGAACTGAGTCGCGGGACATAGGCGTACGCATTATTTATTAAAAAGTAATACATTAAATTGTTTACAGTACACCACCATAAACACCAACGTATAATAATTAATTAAGCAACATCGCACGGGAACAAAGCAACAGTATACATGACGTGAACGTTAAAGGCATTCTGAGGTAGCTGCTCACGTATGTCTCGGTTGACCCGCTTGGCACGCCATTCAATTGCGGCTCTCTCTGACAGCCTTATTTATTATATTCCAATAAAGTTATGTTCGGCTTATAGGATCCGTAAAAAAAATTTCAACAGGATGATTTTTTCAGGGTTGCTTGGGGACTGCCTCCTGAGTATCCAACCAAGAGATCACACTCGAACGCCAGGTAGGAATTACGCTATGGGGGTGGTTTTCTAAACATTTTTTTCAGTGCAAAAGACCTTAATAAAAGTTGTAGAGTGTCAAATTCTGAACAACTTTACTTTATAAAATGTTTTTGTATGTCTAAAACTTAATGAGTTACTGCGCATTATTTGGCAAAAATTGGGCACGCCGAGCCGCAGGGGTGGTTTTGTAAACATGATTTTACAAAAAAATGACGTTCATAAAAGTTGTAGAGGATCAAATTCTGAACACTTTTCCTTAATAAAATGTGTTTGTATGTCTAATACTTAACGAGTTACTGCGTATTATGTGACAGAAATTGGGCACGCCGAAGGGGTGGTCTTGTAAACATGTTTTTACAAAAAAAATTATTGGTCCTTTACAAAGGTCATTTTGCTCTAAAAAATTTTTTAGGAAACCACCCCCATAGCGCAATTCTTACCAGCAGTTCGCGTGTGATCTTTTGGTTGGATACTCAGGAGGTAGTCCCCAAGCAACCCCGAAAAAATCATCCTGTTTGGATTTTTTTTTATAAATTGACATTTTTACTGGATTATTATATTCCATAATTGAAATATGGAAATAACAACTGTTTTTCTGGTTAAAATAAATCTGATTAAAAAATGTCACTATTAATTCAACGGTTGAGGCAAGCGTTACAAAAAGTCACTTTCACGGTTTTTAAAACTCTTTTCATATGCTATAAGAAATAGCAGGAAAATGTAGAGGGTGAACTTTTCAGAAAAAAATAAAGGAATAATTACTTTCCCATTCAAATTTTGTACTTCAAGAGTCTGTTGGTTTTCAATAAAATATGATGATATCATAATAAAAATAATTTTCTCGATATATAATTTAATTTCACTGAATATTTTGTTGTTTTTGAAAATATTTTCAGCTGCAATATTTTCTAGTTTTCCGTTACGAATGTGTTCACTTTTTCCGATGTTATTTCTTGTTACGTAAAGATGATACAGGTAAAATAATATATGGCTTCTAACAAAAGAAGAAAAATATTAACTATAATACTATAAAAAATATAAGAGCAACTAGCCTTTTCCTTTTACTTTATAATTATCAATCATGTTCAGAAAACAAACCGATAATTCAATATGTGATACTACTGGTTTTCATCTGATCGTGGTTGTAAATGTGAATAATGGAGCTGCCTTTACGCATTGAAATATTCTTACTTCTCCAAAAAAAAAAATAATAAAAATCTAAACTTTGAACTGAAAATTTTATTCTCTAAAATATACCAATCACAACTACTAAGACAAAGCCACTGACACTATCAAATGAATAAAATGAATAATGATTCTCACCTATTTGAACACCTTTTGTTTCTACCACATAAAATTGAGACTTCTATTTACTATATCATGTGAACTGTTGTGAAATACATTCATAAACTACTTACAACATTATTCATCAGACTTACTCAGATATTCACCAAATAAATAAAACTTTTGTGATAAGGAAACACAAAAGCAAATGTATTACCGTTTCCGCTTTGATTAATCCAAAGAAAAGTATTAAAACGTATACATACATACTAATAGAACTGTTTAAATTAGGCACATTTATTGTAATTCATCACAGATCCATAGAAACATTAAAAATAAATATGTTTTACGTAAAATGTGTAGTTACCTACCTTCATAAAATTTCAAACCTGTCCAAACACATAGGTCGTTTGTTTACAGTTGAAATATGAAATCACTTGAAACTCCGTTGTTATAGGAGCGCAGTAGCAAATATAAAGAGTAGTAGTGAAATGAGCGTGTTAAATATCTCATAAATATATGCATAGCATGTGGTAAAACTGATGAGATAAAAGAATTATGTAACAATGGAGTAGGTGTTGCGCTGCTCATACAGTAATTATCGTTTTTTACTTATCTGGTAATATAAGGAAAAGAGGCGTAGAAATTTGTTTATTCAGACATAGTTTTATAAGCAAATATATTAAATATGAGAAAATATTATATTACTTAACAATTAGTTGCTTATGGAAAATAAATTTTGTTCAAAACTTTTCTTGTGGTTACGAGATTAGTATTAAAATATATAAATTCAATTCACACTATATGTGGCATTTTTCGCAATATATCAAATCAAAAAGAAATGTTTCTGGTTTTATCTTTAGCCGGAAAAACAAAATTCTCTACTTAAATATGTAATTTCCTGACTACATTATTAATTCTTGAAAATTATTTATTTTCTAGGTTATTGGTCAAAATAAACACTTAATTTATAAAATTTATTATCCATATGTATGTATATACATTATTTATTACGACCGTCATATGCATGGATAATAAAAATTTTCTTATACCTATAATTGTTAATATATCGGACAACAATATTGTTTAAAATCTTGAAACATATTATGTAGAATATGATATTAATACAATGTTTAGTTTTTTCTATTATATTGGCCAACAATCTATAGAAATTAGCAAAGTCAGATGCGAAATGAAAAGTCCTCTAGGTACTGCAGCTTTGTATTGTTCGCAGTCTTCCTCAAAGATAAGTTTACCATATTTTATTCATTATTTCATACTTGTTCCGAGTGTTCAAAACGATGAATAACCAAAATAATTTAATTGTGTTAAATAAGTGAGATATTAAAATACACATACCAGCATGTCATTTGGTTGCACGTGAAAGGTGGATGTTCATCTATGTCAAAATGGTTTCTGTAGTTGTACGTGTATCTATCAATGGAAAGTGTAACAAAATTTGAAAAGGAACCTTGTATATTTAGAGATGTAAAAATATTCGATCACTTAAAATACTGATTTTGATCAATTGAAGTATTTTGTACATTGCTTGATAACTTTTTTTGATAAATTATCTGTTTTCTACATAGCACCAGAAGCATTTTTACGTTTTGTACTGCTATTTTTACGTTATCAACTTTTTGAAAATATTGATATAATGATGTTAAACCAACTTGCAGTCGACCAAAGTTACAGCGCGTAAGCTACATAAAAATGTTTACCTACTCTATTAGAAAAAGCTTTTAGACCAATTTTCCAACTTACTAACATGAGTAAGAGGTCAGAACTTTTCAACAGAATTCTTCATAGCATAGTCTGCTCAATGAGATAAATTTCTTTAGATGTAGCAATCCACATCAATGCCTGTCTCTAATACTAACTCTTCAGATAAAGATTTACACTTGAACTTCTTGAAATATATCGTCATTATATAGAACCAACTATTAAATGGTACCATTATCTATAATAGAGTCTTTCCTTCCTCTGAGTTGTTCGTTTTATGAAATATTATACATATTTTTTTCAAATACCTACTATTTAAGTTAAAACATGTTTCCACCAAAAAAATTAGTTACAGAAATATCATCACTGGAATAATAGATCGAGTACTTCCTCCTGTAATACACAGATAATACATCATTGTGTTTGCTTCTTAAAAAATATGAAAAAAAGAATATGGCTTAAAGTTTTAGCTACTAAGTATATTTACAAAATTAAAGTATATGTACAGGAATTAGGTATTTATATTTACTATTGGCATTAACTGCTACCCCAGGTAACTTTTATAAGATCGGATGCTTTTTCCCCGATCATGAATATCACAGCATTCGTATGACCAGCTACAATATTTGGCATTATAGATCCATCAACAACCCTTAAACCTTTAATTCCGTATACCCTTAATTGAGGATCAACTACAGCTTCAGGATCAGTAACAGGTCCCATTTTACATGTTCCCACTTGATGTCCCAGAGTGGTGGCGACATGACGAATAGCACACGCCCAGTACTCATCAGTGCCAAATACTATGTTCTCGCAACCCGGAAAGGGAATTGTGTTTAGAGTGGTATTATATTTTTGGAAATGTTTGGATGCTGCTATTGAAATCGCCTGCGAAATAATAAAGTTAAATTAATATATTATTGTACTTTGCACAATGTTTGATGTTAACAATATCTTTATCATTAATTCAGGATATTATATTTTACGTAAAGTAACACTGTGTTTACACATGCGTGCAAGTAAATTTTTGTTACAAGGTAGAACAGTTCGAGATCTTAGACTGCTCTACAGAATTTCTCTTGTTTACATGTACGTATGATATTTGACAAATAGAGAAGGGTCTCCACATTAGTAGTCCAAGCATTCTGTCACGGATTAATGTTAAATTTGCAGAAATTATTACCTGGACAAAAAAATATGACCGTATAGAAAATTAAATTTTAAATTGAGTTTCTTATTCTTTAAACTCGATCCAAGGCGAAAAAAAGGCGCTCTCGAAAATTGGCTAGATCTTCTCAGCGGATAGCCCTACAGTAACGATTTTCGGTTTATTTTCTTCGTAAAGAGTCATATTACCATGCTGTTAAAAAATGTTTACGATTTTATTAATTTTAAGGATCAAAAAATGACTTTGAAAAAGTTGCACTTTTTTTGGGTATGATTTTTTCAAATAACTATTTCAATTTTTATTTTATGAAAATGACTTTTAAAGAAAGGAACTGCTGACATTTTTTCACGAATTTAAAAAAAATGTCCTACTATTTTTTTTAAATATAAGTATTCAATATTAACCTCCATCAAATGCATCGCTGTAAAATGTTAATTGCGTCCTCAAAATTTTTTTTAAATAAAAAAATTATCTCGTCTCCAGAAGGTCGTAGAAAAAAAATTTTTTTTAAATTCGTGAAAAAATGTTTCTTTCTTAAAGTCATTTTCATAAAATAAAAATTGAAATAGTTATTTGAAAAAAACACCCAAAAAAGTGCAACTTTTTCAGTCATTTTTTGATCCTTAAAATTAATAAAATCGTAAACATTTTTTAACAGCATGATAATATAACTCTACGAAAAAAATAAACCGAAAATAGTTACTGTAGGGCTATCCGCTGAGAAGATCTAGCCAATTTTCGAGAGCGCCTTTTTTTCAAAAAATCGATATATCTGATATTTTTTGACTTGCCGCGGGCTATGCTTGCAGTAAATAGCAAATATGGGAACGTAAATGTAGACGAGTTATAGAAGAAGAGAAAAGAGAAGATTTTTAACGGTTTTTTCGATATATCTCGAAAATTAGCAAAGCAATCGATACTTACAAATAATCAGTCGATAGAACTTTTTAAAACCTACAACTTTCTCATTTAAAATTTTTCAATAGGTGTTATATTTTTATAGTTATTTTAGAAAAACCGTTTTTTGCAACTTTGCGATTTTTTTAAGCATGTTCGCCATTTTGGATCGAGTTTAAAGAATAATAAACTCAATTTAAAATTTAATTTTCTATACGGTCATATTTTTTTTGTCCAGGTAATAATTTCTGTAAGCATTTCTCTATAATGCTTGGACTATAGATAGTCTTTTCACTATTCAGACTGCCCATATCTTCCATGTATGTATGCCTCGACAAAACGTCAATTATTGGCAGCTGCATTTAAAAAAAATATGTTAGAAGCAGAAAATACAGATGTAATAAAGCCGTCACCACGTTGGGACAAAGAATGGATTATAAGGCAGAGTTAGTTCGAAGTGTATTTTCTGTTGCTTAAAATGCTGCAATGTCATGATTCGCAATACTATAATTCCGTATTTTCACATTATTATCCAAATCTGTTCTCTTTGCAGACTAAACAGGAAAATGGTCTGCCATGCTTGTGATAACTGCTTGTCTGTTTGTCTCTGCTCTGTAATTTTTTTATATGCCGCCCCATAAGTCCAGATTGCCTTCTAGCATTTGAATTAACTATGTTGTTTTTTCACGAGTTCAGAAAACTGACTGAAGTGCAGTATTGCGTTGCATAATCGGATTTTTATTAACTATGCAATAAACAACTATTGAATGCCCCAATATGTTTTACGCTAGCTTAAAATTTACAATCAAGTATCAAATACCTACTGTTTACATGAAAAGAGATGTTACTATAATAGTTAGACCATTACCGCGACAGTGTGTCTAGATCATTGATTTTATAAGCCACGATATCGAAAATGGTCTAGGTCTAGAGTCTAGACCAAGTGTTCGTGTCTGCGACATTGCTCTCGCTGATTTAGTAAACATTTCCACACATACGTGAGTGTGTCGTTAAATAAAACGTCGTCGACGACAATACTCGCCCAATGCCAAGCATACACACAAGTGTCTCCATGTATTTGTAGCATTACAAAGTTAGCCCCTTGCGAGTATGCAACATATACATCACGTTAGCTTTATATTCTTAATATTTTGTTTGCGTTTGTTTCTTTGATGAAAATTGACGTATAACTCAAGAAATTTCTACTACTACTACAGCTCTACTGTTTACTGTTAGTTTAACAGAAAAAACGACAGTATGTTTAAATATTTATATTGTGAAGATCGGTAAATTTAATTTAGAAAGCCTGATTTGAACTTCGTTAAGTTCAGTATTTTTAATTTCAAAGAGCACTGGTTATATTTATTAGTCAACAAGGTACTTCAAAAAAATTAAGCTAAAGGGGGGGGGGGTTAATTAGGCCGGTTTTCGCCCCTTCATTTTTGTCCAAAAACAAGAAAATTTTTTGTTTTTATTATTTATATCCAGTAACTAATCGATTCCACCCCAAACGGGACCTTCCCCCTCCTTCCTAATCAGGATCAAGGTCAAAAAGAGGTCAGATAAAAAAAATGCATTAAATCAAATGATCTCGGAGGTTAGGTTTTTTGGGTCGCTGAGTTCAAATTGGAGGTTGGTTTGTCTGTATCAGGCCATTTTAAGGTTGTTTCAAGGTCATTACAAGGTCAAATTGAGAAAAAGCCGACCAGTCAAGTCCCACCACCAGTTATACAGGTTTTTGGGGTCGCTGGGATAGAATCCGATGTTAGTTTGAATGTATCCGCTAATTTAAAGGTCATCTCAAGGTCATTTACAGGTCAAATTGAAAAAAAACCGAGCAATTAAGTCTAACTGCCTGTTATACATGTATTTGGAGTTGCAGAGTTCAAATCCGAGATCAGTTTGTCTGCATTAAGTTATTTGAGTGTTATTTCAAGGTCAAACCAAGAAAAAAACAAGAAATCGATTACCGTTTTTGAAGTCTCCGAGTCCGTTTATATGTATCAAGTTTTAGGTCAAGAGATAACTGATGTGGAACTCATGAGAAATCCTTTGTACAGGTCAAATAAATAGTTTTCGTGATAAAAGATCTGCTCATTTGCTTCTTCAGATGAAATTGCGTAAACCTTGCGTATCTCTGTTTAAACTCGAATGATTCTAAAAACCTGTTTTTAGTATCAACAATTTTAGCTTTGGTCGAAAACAGAGATGTCTGAAATCGTTTCTCACTGACCCTATCATAAGTCCTTTTTCTCAAATCAACCTTGAAATAACCTTGAACCATTATTAGTACATATAAATGGTCCTCGGACGAGGACTAAGCGACTATAAGAACGGTAATTGACTCCAGGGTTTATTCCATACATTAACTTTCAAGTGACCTTAAAATGGGCTTTAAATGACCTGACACAGACAAACTCACCTCAGATTTGAACTCAATAACTCCAAATACGTGTATAACAGATAGTTAGACTTAATTGTCTGGCTTTTCTCAATTTGACCTTGAAATGACCTTGAGACGACCTTCAAATAACCTGATACAGACAAACTGACCTCGGATTCGAACTCGGTTATCCCAAAATCCTGTATAACATGCGGTCGGACTTGATTGCACGGCTTTTTTTCAATTTGACCTTGAAATGACTTTGAAACAACCTTAAAATGGCCTGATACAGACAAACTAACATCCGATTTGGACTCAGCGACTCAAAAAACCTAAACTCCGAGATCCTTTGATTTAATGCACTTTTTCTCAATCTGACTGCTAATTGGCCTTAATCCTGACTAGGAGGGGGGGGGGGTCCCGTTTGGATGGAATCGAATAGTTATTGGATATAAATAATAAAAAAATTATTTCTTTTTTTGGTCAAAAATTAAGGGGCCAAAAACCGGCCTAATTGGCCCTCCCCCTTTCTTAATCGAATTTTAGAAAACTTTATTTATTTTCTTTTCAAAAAGTGTAAATTTTCGTTCAGGAAGCACCACTTAAATTTTAAAGTATTAAGTTTCCAAATTATTTTGGGCATTCAATTTTTATGGTTGAAAAAGTTATTTAAGCAAAGTCATAACAAGGAACCTACATTAAATTTCTATCCATACATTTTCATAATAATATTTGATAGTATTTCTGTACCTACTTTTTTACACAATGATTTTTAAAATTAAAAGCAATTACATTTTACATCAGATATGCATGCTCATCGCCGACATGTTTACTGTCGTTAGGAATTTTTGTATTAATCATTGCCACTAGTGTCACTGTGAAAAAAATACTGCATGCTGCATATACTTATGTAAATATTTACCGTCTTAATTCCTTCGACCATTGTCGCTATATCTTCTTCTTCTTCAAAATAATTCGGCCTTATAATAGGCCAGTGTAATGGATTTGAATCCTTTATTAGAACTCTACCCTTGCTCTTCGGCCTCAACAAGACGGTGGCAATGCCGAATGCCGATCTGTTACTTAAAGGTTCGTAAACCCTCTGATAGAGTGAGTCTGGAATTCCTAGTAAACCCCGAAAGCTGCCAAAAGTGTCTCCCGTAAGAGCACCTGCTCCTAGCACTAACTCGATATCTGGATAGTCGTCGCTGCTCGTTGAGTATTTGGTCTTTATGAAAGCTAAAGCCTCTGCTCCACCAGGAATAGTGTACGGACCTTTGCCTGTAATGATACAAATATGTACTTCTTGCAAAAGTAATATAAATGACAAGAGTGTATTATATTATCTGAAATGATAAATATGTAAATACTTTATCATACATAATTTCCCAAACAGTTTGTAGCAGTTTTGTATCACTGACAATGACATAACATTAAAATTATTTTAACGAGTAGGTATTTCTGCACCTTCAAAAACTGCAAAATTAATTTTGTTGTATGAAATCGCTAAATGATTTTCTTGACCAGATACCGAACAAAGTTATTCAGAATTAAATTTTCGGATTTTCGGCACACTGCAATGAAATTTTATGTGAAATTTTTTTAATTAGCAACATTCAGTCTAAATATTTTTTCCTTTAAAATAGCTTCATTAATAAATATGGAACTTTTCCAAATTAAATTTCATAATATCTTAGTTTAAAAAAAGTTATTTGTACGATATTTGAAGTATGCGCCTTTTGCATCTGACAACAGAGTGTTGAACAAATTTCTATCCGACAACAATGGTTTTCGAATAATGTTTCAATTTAATAAACATTACTCGTGAATCCAGCATTATTTTTTTTATTAATAATTATTTATTTACAAAATGTTTAAGTTTAGACGTAATGTTGTGATTATTGTTAAATTTACTTAGTTTTTGTGCTTTAAAACAATGTGAATTTAGTTTTGTTATCTTGTTTAATACACTTTATTTTAGTAATAACTCTTTTCGTATCTTTCTCTGTTTATAAAGGGTTTTCCAAGAAGTTTTAGACAGGCAGTGTCTGGAAAATGCTTGGAAAATAGAAATGAAACTTAGTGTAGAATGGTAGATGTTTTTTATTATCAAATTTTCTTTCCAGTTTTGTATTTATGAGATTAGGGGTTTTCTTGGACAATATCAGAGATATTATCAGTTGAATAAAAATCATGTACCTATTATTCGTATTTTCAGACGTATGATGGGGAAATGCATTTTAATTTCCATCATAATTTGTATTGTAACAAGGCTTTTGAATATGTAATAATAAACTAGATGTTCTATTTAAAATTTTGAAGTTGATTTCACGTGAAAATAAATTTGAAAATAAAATTGGATTAATTAATAGTAGTATAAACTAACAAATTGCATTTCCATTAACGTGAGAGGAAATAGGTATTGCCTGCCTAAAATTTTGTGAGAAATATGTTTTAAGCTTCTTTTAAATACATATCCACAATTTCGATCTGCCCCGCCTGAGAAATTTTTCTGCAGATGCCCATGAGCTGTAAACATATTTTTAAGGCATACAAGCTTTTAACTTTGCCAACTCTTTCCATTTATGCACTTTGTATATATTTAAATAAGACATAATGATAAATTGGTTGTACCTTTTTGTACCTTTTAATGAAGGTTACATGTAGTTCACCTATTAGGACTTGGATATTTAATATTTTACAGATATAAAATTGTTTCCGTCTTAAAAAAAATAACTTAAAGATAAATACTTTTATGAGACTAAGGAATATTTATTTTAATCAATTGTATTGTTTGTTTTTATTTATTGTGATATTGTGATACTTGTGATATTTTCTATATTTGTGTTGGTTTATGTTTATTTACTTGGACTAATCTTATACAATATGCAATGTATTGTTTAGAATTATAATAAAGGTTATTATTATATTAAATTATCTTACAAGTAAAAATAACAAAAATATTTTTCTTAAAGCAGGATTTGACAATAAGGACAATTTCTTTAACTTTTAATTTCTATTTTTTTTCTTAAATTTTCGTAATTCATACTACATTTTTCAGCTTTCCTGCCAAACCAGCTGTCACATGAGCTATCGATTATGCAAAAATTATTGCCAACATTTTTAAAATTTTAGTAGTTGAAAGCTTTTCCTATAGGTTGGATTTTTTTTTTGTCGACCACTGTATAAGTTACGACATATAATTATATATATAATTTTAAAATTTAGCAGTCAGTATCTTCATTTAAAAAATTCTCAATGTAGTTGGCATTGATCCATATTTTATTTATTTTACCTCTTACGAGATAGTTGTAAATGTGAACAGGATTTTGCATTTGTCGGTCAGACACTGTTACACTTTCGTTGACCAAAAACGTAAGAGTGGACATTGCCATGTGATCTTGCAAATTATATCCGACCTTAAGATCTTGTATAATTTTAATTTTAGCTTTTCCCAAAACATCTCGAGGTCCAACTCCTGACAGCATTAAAATCTGTGGGCTATTCACAGAACCAGCGCTTAGTATAACTTCTTTTTTTACTCTAATGGAATATTTTTTTCTGTTTCTTAGAAATTCTACTCCATACGTTTGCTTCGTTTGTGGATTAATAAGAAGTTTAGTAACTCTTGATTGAGTTAATATGTGTAAGTTGCGTCTATATCTAATAGGTTTCAAGAATGCTTTAGCTGCACTACACCTAGCACCATTCTTCATCGTTGCCTGCACCCTAGAAAAACCTATCAAAAATCAATACATTTTCCCTGAAACATCAAATAATAATCTTACCCAAACCAATTTTTCCATTTGGATCGTTATTTTTATAACCCAGGTCTAGACCAGTCTTTAGAAACAGTTTAACGGTTGGGCTTTCATATCCTGGGTGTTCAATATTTAAGTAGCCATCCGTTCCATGAAAAGGTTTGTCTATTTCTCCACAGCTAGTGCAGTTCTCTGATTTAATGAAATAGGGCAAAACTTCGTCATAACTCCATCCTTCATTACCCATGCGTGACCACATGTCGAAATCTAACCTAAAATTTTATTGTTTTATTTATTATTGTCATTGTCATTGTTACCGCCATATTATAATCATATCTTGTCCACGGATGCAGTTGAAATGACAGATAACTTATTTTTCACTTTTCACAAAAAGTTTTTCTTAAACAATATCCAACATATACAGGATGTCTTCATTTTGAAATGATTTGAGAGATTGGTTAATTTTATCCTAATACATTATGCTAATTAAGAAACACATAAAGGATATTCGGATCACTTTAATTTCTGGTATCATTATACAAAACTGTTTTTTCAATTTCTTCATCTCGTTAAAAAACTGGTCTTTTTATATAAGAAATCACGAAGCAGTTTATTATGATATTAGACACTGTTTAGTATTAAATGTATGCTAAATTTGTTGTCAATTAGTTTTAATGTTGCAGTTCAGTGATTTATCAAAATAAAAATTATCGGACATTTATTGTATATGTTGGTTTTCACTGAGTATGATCCTTCTGAATGTCTTAGATATTTACAATAGCACGGTACAGCCATGAAAATGCATAGTAGACAAACAGTTTGTAGCAGTAAATTTGTATCACTGACAATAAGATAACATTAAAATTATTTTAACAAGTATTTCTGCACCTTCAAAAACTGCAAAATTAAGCTAGAAATAGCAAATCCGCGTATGAGAGAGACGCGCGCGCGGCTCATAGCGCTTTATTAACAATTAAAAACAAGGCTTTAGAATAATGCGAGTCCCAAAAACTCTTCATCATCTTGTAGGGGGATGTTTAAACTTTAATTTAGGTACCTGGCAACATTAAAGATAACAATTTTTAACCCAGAAATCGGCCGTTGAAAATCGTCATTTTCGCATTTTTAGCAAATTAAATTGTTTATAACTTTAAAACTATAAATTTTAGAGGCATAATGCATAGGAACTTTTTTGTTTATAATGTGCCAAAAAATCTTTTCCGGAGTGAAAAAACCTATTTTTACAATTTGTTTAAAAAAAGTGTGTTTAAACAAATGGGCACCAGATTTCCGACCGGCATCATCTCGATTCATGTTAAGGAACATCTCACGAATCTGAATATGCAAAAAAATCGAATCGGAAAATTTCTCCCACAAATGCGAGGTTTTCGCCTTGTCTATAGGTCCCTAAATAATGAAAACAACACTGCGAGCTCAACATCATAGGAGCTGATGCTAAAATGTACTGTTGTATATATGTGCCAATATTCTCAAGTCTTGAGAGCTATAATGCTATGGTTTAAGTATGTGATGACAAAATTAGTTTCAGATCAAAAATGACACCGCATAATGTGATCGGTTTTGGAAGTTTTGATTTAAATAGCAATTAAAAATAAGAGAAGACAGTGTAAAGATAAAACAAAGGGTTACAGACATGTGACAACAATTCTATTAAATTCATCTTACCCCTGCCCTTAGACTGAATAGCAAAGTCAGACCAATCTACCGCCGAATGCATTCCTTCTTTGAACTAGATGTAGTGCATCATTGTTAACAGTCATTATTAACGTCGTCAGCCTTAATTACTACTACAGAAGACTGTATGTTGTTGGAATAAATTGTCAATTCAGAAAATAAATAGGACAATAATTGACGCTAGAGCTAGAAAGATCTATACGTGTTACTTTCAATAACACAGGCGCAAAAAAAGTGGTATGTTCCACAGACTTCCTCATGTATTTAGACGTACTGAATCTGAATCCGGAGCGATAATTGCTCCATTACCCTCCATTTTTTTTAATATACGAAAAACCGCCCTCAGATACAGAAAATATGGAAAATATCTCTTTGGGAGGGATCAGCATTAGATATAATTAATTGTAGGAACCGACTGAAAATGACTGCAATTCTGGTCCAGGATTAGGATCCACCGCGTCAAAATACATACAGAAACATAGGTCTAGTCTTTTAGTCCAATTAAATAGGCCTTTAAATCGCAATTTTGGTCAACTTGCCTGAATTTTTTATATAAGTTAGTTTGAGGTATATAATAACAATAAGTGACAGTCATTTTACTTTCAACCCCCGGCCAGGGGGTTGAAAGTAAAGTTTATTTTATCTTTTTCCACCCCTGGCAGGGGGTTGAAACAAAAATTACTGTCACTTATTGTTATTATATACCCTAAACTAACTTATATCAAAAATTCAGGCAAGTTGACCAAATTGCGATTTAAACGCTCATTTAATTGGACTATTGGAACAGTATAGATCTGTTACTAAATTAAGAAAAGTAGAACTACTGTTACTTTAGTATTCGAACTAGTATCTAGGACGTGTTATTCCACAGATATTAACATATAGTGAATTTAAATCTTTATATCTGGATAAATATGATATTAGAAGTAGGTAACTGAAAACTATTTAGGAAGCGGTACGATCACAATTAAGAACCCTTCGAAAATCTTCTTTCATAAAAAAAAACCTGAACAGTTACAATTATACGCTTTCCAATACCAAAATTTACAGTTAAAAAATAATGTCCTAGAAATAGAAGGGGTAGACCACGACGAAAATGTGCGGCAGGTTGGACAAATTTATTTCAAATTTTAACATATTTTTAATAATGAGAACAAATAAAATGTAGGTACATATTATTTCTGAATAATCTTTTAAATAAAAAACCTCACCTGCTTCCACGGGTGTACAGTAAAAAATTTGTTACTGAAGTTCCGCCTAGTGCTTTTCCTCTAGCTATGTTGCACCTTCCGTCGATGAGTCCCAAACAGGCTGTTTTCAGTTTTTCACTTTTATAACCCCAGTTGTAACCTGTGGTAGACTGAAAAGCAGCCAAAAGTGGTATGTCTGTTATAAAACTTTCATCTCTTCCAGCTTCTAATAGCAGGACTGTCCATTTTGGATTCTCTGTTAATCTGTTTGCCACCACACTTCCTCCAGAACCTATAAAAATCGTGTGTCATCTTTTAAATAGACATCAAGTTGCGTTCTCTATATAGAAGTCATTAGAAGTCATTACACATCATTTACTTAAAAAGCACTGAAGCAAAAAATTCACGAATTATTAAAAAAAATTTTTATACTATTCTAGCTAATAATTTAATAATTAAAAAAAAAATTGAATTTTGTCGATTACAGCGCCATCTATCATGAATCGAAAATAATGTTTCAGACAAATTCTACGTACTGTTAGCCGCAGAATTCAAATCTGTAATAAAAAATGGGGGTTCCTATTAAACACCCGGTATATATTTTTTAAAACTAAGAGCACATCTTTATGTAGGTACAGGATTATTCACGATCATAATATTATACCTATCTTTGCTGCTTTGAAAAACAATTAAATGATGTATTTTGAATACATTTTACAGCCTGTGTTTTCCTTAAATAGGACACATTACATTTTTACATATTTGATTACAGTACTTTTTCGTGTTCACAATGTAAAGTTTGATAGATCTATTTCTAATAATAGCCCAGTCATTATAGACATGAAAGAGCCTGTTTCGGGAAAAAAATACTATTAGAAGTTTCTCTGCGGAATATTGTTCGGAAACCTGTTATAAATAAAATATCAAAAAATCAACTCGAGGCTAGTTGGGAAACTTTGTTTTAACAGTGGTCAAAGTTATGGAAAAGTGGTTTTTTGACTCACGTAAAAAAGCTATTATTCATAGCGAAAAAAAGTTTATACAAAAAAGGTAGGTATTAAATAAGCCT